GATAGATAGATAGATAGATAGATAGATAGATAGATAGATAGATAGATAGATAGATAGATAGATAGATAGATAGATAGATAGATAGATAGATAGATAGATAGATAGTTAGATAGATAGGATACTAAACATTAATTGTTTTTTTTCTCTTAGAATAACTGAATATACATCAAAGCTGAGCAAGAGAGAGGTGGACGCCACCATCTCTAATGCTTTCCAGCTCTACAGTGATGTTATTCCACTTGACTTCAAACAGATCTACAGCGGCACAGCTGATATCATGATTCTCTTCAAAGCAGGATGTGGGTATAAATACAGTACCCTCAAAAGTTTGGAATAATTCAAATTTTCTACATTGTTTTTGAAAGATGTCACTTATGCTGACTTTATTTCATCAAAAATGCAGTAAACAGGACTATTGTGAAACATTATTACAATTTAAAATACATTTACATTAAAATACATACATTTCTATTTGAATTATTATATTTTAAATGTAACTTATACCTTTGACGGTAAACCTGCGTTTTCAGCATCATTACTCCAGTCTTCAGAGTCACATGATCCTTCAGAAATCATTCTAACATGCTCATTTGGTGCTCAAGAAACATTTCTTATTATCAATGCTGAAAACAGTTGTGCTGCTTAATTTATATTTTTGCAGTGATGCAATACCATTTCAAAGTTTGGGGTAAATAGGATTAAAAAAAATAATTATATATATATATATATATACACACACACACTTTTATTCAGCAAGCAGACACTAAAATACATCAAAAGTGAAAGTAAAAATATTTATAATGTTATAGAAAATTTCTATTTTAAATAAATGCTGTTAATTTCTCTTCATCAAAGAAACCTGAAAAAAAATCATGATCTACACAAAAATTATTAATAATTCAGTACTGATAATAATGGAAATAAATTTAAATAGTAATATGTCACAATATTACTGTTTTATTGTTTTTATTTTAAAAAATGCATCCTTGGTGAGCATAAAATGCTTCTTTCAAAAACATAAACAAATTTGTTTCCTTTTAGATCATGGAGATTTTTACCCATTTGATGGGCCTAATGGGGTTCTGGCCCATGCCAACGCACCCGGTCCAGAGCAGGGAGGAGACACACACTTTGATGAGGATGAGAGGTGGACCTTAAGTTCACGAGGTGAATGCACAAATCACACAGAATCACATGCTTATGTGTATGTTAACTTTTTATTATTTATTATTAAAAAAACATAAATCTACTTCAGATATAAACCTGCTTTTGGTGGCTGCTCATGAATTCGGACATGCACTGGGACTAGAGCACTCCAATGACCCTTTGGCTCTCATGTATCCAACTTACCAATACATCAACACGGATGGCTATACACTTCCCCGTGATGACCGACTTGGGGTCCAGGCCCTGTATGGTAAGTGTTTTGTTGTGACAGAAAACACATACATTAAATACAATAGATCATATTGTAGGGCAACTGGAGAGCATTATCAACTATAAAACTCTCAATAAAGATGTATCCCCCCCCCCATTTTGTATCATGTTTTAGGAGTTAGAACATCAACAAATAAACCTGAACCAAAACCAAATCCTGGACCGAGCCCACCAGAACCATGTAAACGTGACTTGGTGTTTGATGCAGTGACCAGCATCCGTGGAGAACTGTACTTCTTTAAAAATGGGTAAGAATTTATTTATTTAATTTTTTTATATTTAATATATTTGATTACATGCACACACACTGTGTGTGTGGATGGGAGTAAAAATATATGATTAAAAAAATAATAATATTTAATTCTTCATTTCCATCAGATATTACTGGAAGAAGGGCTACTATAGTGGACTTTCAATGCATGAAATAAAATCTACCTGGCCATCCATTGACTCTGTTGATGCTGGTTATGAGTTCAGTGGCAGAGACATTAGTTTCCTCTTCAAAGGTAAAGTCATGTTTCCTAAAGTGTCTTTGGTGGTGTATAACAAGGCTTCAATAAATGCAGTTGTGTGGTCTTCCACATTCAGGTCAGCAGTACTGGGCAGTAAAAGGCAGAACTACTTTACCTGGATATCCCAAACCCATAACCAAATTCGGGTTTCCCACATACGTGAGAAAGATTGATGCAGCTGTATATGTAAAATCAACTGGGCGCACTTTGTTTTTTGTTGGAACCAAATACTGGAGGTAAGAAAAAATGAATGATTAGCTTAAATGAACCATTGTCTCCACTTAATATTGTGTTGATTTTTCAAAATAACATCAAAACTAATATAATTTTAACAATGGTGTAGCTTCAATGAAAGAACAGCTCAAATGGACAGAGGCTTTCCTAAAACTATTCAACATAATTTCCCTGGCATTGGGTCACGGGTGGACGCTGCTTTTGAAAATGATGGTGAGTTTAAACACTATAAAACAAAAACACTGACTATTCAACCATTCATTATTTAATGATGTTTCCTGTAATCATTTTTTTCTTCTTTTTAGGTTATCTGTATTTCTCAGAGGGTTCAAGGCAAACGGAGTATAATTTCATCTTAAGACGAGTGAATCGTGTTCTGTTGAACTATGGATGGCTGGACTGCTACTAAACATTTAAATGAAAATCAAAAGAAATGAAATTAATGTTTCAGTATTAATAATGTACCTATATTTTTCCTGTTTTTTTTATTATTTTATTATTATTATTATAGACAATGCCACATTGAAATATTGTATGAAATATCATTACAAATATATATATATATATATATATTTGTAATGATATTTCATACAATATTTCAATGTGGCATTGTCTATAATAATAATAATAAAATAATAAAAAAAACAGGAAAAATATAGGTACATTATTAATACTGAAACATTAATTTCATTTCTTTTGATTTTCATTTAAATGTTTAGTAGCAGTCCAGCCATCCATAGTTCAACAGAACACGATTCACTCGTCTTAAGATGAAATTATACTCCGTTTGCCTTGAACCCTCTGAGAAATACAGATAACCTAAATATATATATATATATATATTGCAATTCAGTTGTAACTCATTTTCTAATATAATAAATAAAGATAAATAGGAAAATGTGGATGCATTTTTTGTAAGCTGAACAAGACCTTTTCTATATAAAAACTAGTGGTGTTGCTATTAATATAATGTATTAACTTGTTCGAAAATACTTTTAAAAAATACTCTTTTAAAGTGAGTATAAAAGCATAAAGTCAAAAATGTCGGTAGGCATAGGCCCAATCTTTCATTATTTTGTCTTAACAAAAAAATAAGCAGTGAAGCAATTTTGTTTTATGTTATTAATATGATATCTGAATTTTATCTGACAAATAAAAATTAGAGAGGACTGTGTGTCACTACCACTACATTTAAAAAAAAAAAAGATAAACATTTAAACCATTTTATAAAAAGTCACATTTAGTTCAGGTTAAATTGAATAAGTTCAAGAAAACTTTCTCTACCAAAATTATAATAGGCTAACGAAATATAAGTGAAAGAAATAAAGATATAAGCGAAAGGTTTATGAAACCAACACTGAGACAAATATAGCATTTTTAAGAAGGTTTTACAAGCCAAAACTAGCTAAAAAAACGTAAGGTGTATTTTGACATAAACTACATTACCCATAATGCTCTGGGCGACGCCATGTGACGCAGACACACCTCTTACTGTGATTGGCTGCTCACTGTAAGCGTTCACTACACTCTCATTCGGAGCTTTGAAGGTGAAATTGGCTCTTTTGTGTATGCAGTTTTCCATCGCGATTATGACTTCCTGTGCTCTTTACAGTACACGCACACACCTGTGCAGACATCTGGTGAGTTTGAACTAAATCGATATCGATAGCCAATATTGACTATGCCACGAGACTTGCGGAGCAAGCAGCAGTTTGACTGCAGGCCTGTTTCATTGTTTACATTTTAAACAGTGCACCTCACTTGTTAAAAAGTAGATGTTCAAAATGTAAGGCGTTCATATAAATTCTACAGCCAATTTATTACGTCAGCGAAATAGTTTTTGAATCTGCCTTTGCAGGCACATACATATCTGAGCAGGACCTACAGCACACGACCGTCTCTAAATGTGAGTAAAATATTATGCGATTTGTCAGTTTATGGAGCCAGAGCGGTTTCTGTCAGGTGAGTATTTCTTCCTCTTTCATCTCTGTCTGGACAGGAAGTCGTCATCGTCAGCGCAGTCAGGACTCCTGTGGGGTCTTTCAGAGGAAGCCTTTCCTCAGTCCCTGCCACTAAACTGGGCTCCATTGCTATTAAAGGAGCCATTGAGAAAGCAGGTACAATTCTGATGTTCTTTGGAGGAATTCGTATTTTATCATATATAAGTATTTTTGATCAAGTAAATGCAGCTTTAGTGAGCAGTAGATATTTTTCAGAAACCTTAAAAAAAATATAAGCTAATAATCATTTAAGCTATAATAAAACCTCATCGACACATTTATTTTAATCAGAAAGGTGTGCTATTTGTTTCTACAACAAATGCAACATAGTTTGATATTTTGTATTCTAATGCAATGATATTCATATGCGTGTGTTATTATTTCTTCATTTTTAAGACTTATTTATATGATAAAATGTGTCATCTACAGGAATTCCTGTTGAGGAGGTGAAAGAAGTTTATATGGGCAATGTGTTGCAGGCAGGAGAAGGACAAGCACCAACCAGACAGGCTCTTCTGGGTGCAGGTGAGTCATGTATCACACACATAAACAAACATAACAAAAAATGCACCTTTTATTTAGGAATTAACAATGCAACTTCTCAAAGAAAAGTGTGTGATCTTCCTCATGTAGGTCTCCCTCTCTCTACTCCGGCAACTACCATCAATAAAGTGTGTGCTTCTGGGATGAAGTCCATCATGATGGCTGCTCAGAGTCTCATGTGTGGGCATCAGGTATTGTGATAGACAGTAGATTCAGAAAGTGTTGTGTGTGAAAGTGAGAGCATTTAGCGTCCTAATACAGCAGAGGTAGTAAATCTACATGATGTCTTCCAGGATGTGATGGTTGCTGGTGGAATGGAAAGCATGTCTCAGGTTCCTTATGTCATGGCCAGAGAAGTGCCCCCTTATGGTGGAGTGAAGATGGAGGATCTGATTGTTAAGGACGGGTTGACGGACGTCTACAACAAATTCCACATGGTACAGTTATTTTGAACCAGTAAAACCGATTGCATTGTATTTGCATAATAGTGAAGCCTGAAAATAACTATTGAGGCAATATAGGAAGTGAGTGTGGAAACATTGGACCGCAAATGTACTGTACGTAAACAAAAAAAATGTACTGTACGTAAACAGTGTTTACTGTTTAAACAGTACAGTGTTACAGTGTTTACTGTACGTAAACACTGGAGAGGCCATAATTGTGTAAAACACCTCCATACTTCCCCATTTTTAGGGCAACTGTGCTGAAAATACAGCCAAGAACAGCGGTATCTCCAGGGAGGAGCAGGACGCATTTGCCATTAACTCGTACAGCCGCAGCAAAGCAGCATGGGAGTCTGGCGTCCTGGCCAAGGAAGTGGTTCCTGTGAGCATCCCTCAGAAAGGTTGGTTTCACTGCTGTTGCTGTTAAGTTCCATATCATTCCCCAAGAATTCCCTGTTATGAGCTAAAATATTTTATTACACAATTTATAAATCTGATACATAATTGCAATAAAATATGCTCTCTCACCGCATAGGAAAACCAGACATCGTTGTGAAGGAAGATGAAGAATATAGGAAGGTTGACTTCAGCAAAGTCCCCAAACTGAAGGCTGTGTTCCAGAAAGAGAACGGTACAAGATTATCATTAGCCCTAGTGGAAAAGTACTGAACATAGATAGTGTTCTTCAAATTGTAAAAGTATATTTTTACAAAACTGTACATGAAAATAATATAAGCATTTAAAAAAATTAACATTGTAATAATCTCAAATGAAAAACTTGACTAAAAAGTTCATTTTAAATCATTGTTTTAATAATATATTTGTCCACCTGTTTTGATGTGCTGACTGACATTAAAGCAGATGTAGAGTACTTGATTATGATTTAACTGTAGCGTGTTATTCAATGTTACATTTCAAGTTAATAGATTGTAAATGTTATTCATTGCAGCTTCATCAGAACAAATGTGCAATTACAAATATATTCAAATAGCTGACATACAAGTTTCAATAGAAATGACGTTAAAGTATATTTTAGTTTACCTTAAATGCTTGTCAGTACATTCAGTAGTGCACTTCAACCATATTTCAAAGACAATAGAAGTAATTATGAAATTACATATAAAGATGCACTTAACTCCTACTTAAGTGGGTTAAAAAAAGCACTCTAAATTTGAGCTAATTGTGTTTATTATAGATTTGAACTATAATACATTTTAGGGCTGCACAATAAATCGCATGCGATACTTAACGCGCATCTGGTCAGTAAAGCCATTCTGTAATCAGCGGTAAATCTCCATCACGTGCGGGCTTTCACATAGAGCAGCATTAACTACATAGAGCCGTTGTTCACCGACAAGCTGCGCAAAATATGATCGTGGTTTTGCGCAGCTTGTCAGTGAACAACGGCTCTGTGTAGTTAATGCTGCTCTGTGTGATCTTCCTCATGTAGGTCTCCCTTTCTCTACTCCCGCAACCACCATCAATAAAGCGTGTGCTTCTGGGATGAAGTCCATCATGATGGCTGCTCAGAGTCTCATGTGTGGGCATCAGGTATTGTGATAGACAGTAGATTCAGAAAGTGTTGTGTGTGAAAGTGAGAGCATTTAGCGTCCTAATACAGCAGAGGTAGTAAATCTACATGATGTCTTCCAGGATGTGATGGTTGCTGGTGGAATGGAAAGCATGTCTCAGGTTCCTTATGTCATGGCCAGAGAAGTGCCCCCTTATGGTGGAGTGAAGATGGAGGATCTGATTGTTAAGGACGGGTTGACGGACGTCTACAACAAATTCCACATGGTACAGTTATTTTGAACCAGTAAAACCGATTGCATTGTATTTGCATAATAGTAAAGCCTGAAAATAACTATTGAGGCAATATAGGAAGTGAGTGTGGAAACATTGGACCGCAAATGTACTGTACGTAAACAAAAAAAATGTACTGTACGTAAACAGTGTTTACTGTTTAAACAGTACAGTGTTACAGTGTTTACTGTACGTAAACACTGGAGAGGCCATAATTGTGTAAAACACCTCCATACTTCCCCATTTTTAGGGCAACTGTGCTGAAAATACAGCCAAGAACAGCGGTATCTCCAGGGAGGAGCAGGACGCATTTGCCATTAACTCGTACAGCCGCAGCAAAGCAGCATGGGAGTCTGGCGTCCTGGCCAAGGAAGTGGTTCCTGTGAGCATCCCTCAGAAAGGTTGGTTTCACTGCTGTTGCTGTTAAGTTCCATATCATTCCCCAAGAATTCCCTGTTATGAGCTAAAATATTTTATTACACAATTTATAAATCTGATACATAATTGCAATAAAATATGCTCTCTCACCGCATAGGAAAACCAGACATCGTTGTGAAGGAAGATGAAGAATATAGGAAGGTTGACTTCAGCAAAGTCCCCAAACTGAAGGCTGTGTTCCA